AGATAAGCATGCGGATGATCAGGAAGATGAGACGGATGAGGATAGAGGCAGCAACAGCAGCTGGAGCAGGAGCAGAGAACGGCGGAGGAGGAGGAGGAGGAGGAGGAGGAGCAGGAGGAGGAGGAGGAGGAGGAGGAGGAGGAGGAGGAGGAGGGGGAGGGGGGGGAGAAGGATGAGGAGGAGGAGGAGGAGGAGGAGGAGGAGGAGGAGGAGGAGGAGGAGGAGGAGGAGGAGGAGGAGGAGGAGGAGGGAGGAGGAGGAGGAGGAGGGGGAGGGAGGAGGGCGATAACGACGAGGAAGGAATATGATCCGTACCTGCGGCCCGCGCTGGGGCGAGAGTACCACTCCGAACGTCGGGAACCAGACACGCTGCAACGGGAACACCATTGTGCAAAGCAAAACAAGAAAGAAACGGGCGGAACGACCATCCGCCCTCCGCCCTCCCTCCTGAGACCTCCGCCCTCCGCCCTCCTCCCTCCTCCCTCCTCGCTCCTCCCTCCTCCCTCCTCCCTCCTCCCTCCTCCCATCTGCATTTGTGGAACCGCAATTCAGAGGATCGCCTCTGGTGGAGCTCCCTCTGGCGCCACGGAGCGAGCGAGTGGCGTGCAGTAGTGGGCGGGAGACCGCATGCGAATCCAGCCATTGCGACCTTCGGTGGAGCTCCCTTTGCAGCCACGTACCGTGTGAGGGGTGTGCCGAGATGGGCGGGGAACCGCATGCGAACCCTGCCACTGACGCCTTCTGTGAAGCTCCCTTTGTAGCCGCGAAACGTGTAAGCGGTGTGCCGAAGCGGGCGGGGAACCGCATGCGAACCCTGCCACTGACGCCTTCGGCGGGGGAACCGCATGCAAACCCTGCCACTGATGCCTTCGGTGGAGCTCCTGATGGCGCCATGAAGCGTGCGAGGGGTGTGCCGAAATGGGCCGGGAACCGCATGCGAACCCTGCCATGGACGCCTTCAGTGAAGCTTCCTTTGCAGCCACGAAACGTGTGAGAGATGTGCCGAAATAGGCGGGGAACCGCAACCGAACCATGCCATCGAGGCCTTCGGCGGAGCTCGGGAACCGCATGCGAACCCTGCCTCTGCAGCCTTCGGTAGAGCTCCATATGGAGCCACGGAGCGTGTGAGGGGCGTGCCGAAAAGAGCGGGGAACCAGATGCGAACCCTGCTACTGCGGACCTCGCTGGAGCGCCCTATGGGGCCACGAAGCGTAGGAAGGTTATGCCGAGATGGGCGGGGAACCACATGCGAATCCTGCCGCTGAGGTTTTCGGTGGAGCTCCCTACAGGGCCACGAAGCGTGCGAGGGGTGTGCCGATATGGGTAGGGAGCCGCATGCGAACCCTGCCACTGCGGCCTACCAAATGGGCGGGGAACCGCACGCGAACCCTGCCACGAAAGCCTCGGGTGGAGCTCCCATATGGGGCCATGAAACGTGTGAGTGGTGTGCCAATTGTGGTCATGCGGAGGGCAGAGGCAGGGATGGCAGGAAGGAGAGGCGGAGGATGAGGAGAGGAGGACGCAAGACGCTCTCTACAGAACGAGGACCCAACACCGAATGATGGTGCTGGCGAAGGACCCAGACATCTGCAGTTGTGAGTGCCGCATTGTGGGTACCGGCTTCGGTGGAATTCCCTGTGGTGCCACGAACCGCGCGAGGGGCTCGCCAACATGGACAGCGGGCGCATGCGAACTGTGCTGCCGGGGCCTTGGGTCAAGCCCCCCTGTGTTGCCACGAAGCGTGCGAAGGGTGTGCCAACAGCAGTGTGGAACCACACGTGGACCCTCCCAATTGGGCCGTCGGTGGAGCTCCCAGTGGGGCCACGAAACGTGTGAGAGGTGTGCCGCAATGGGTGGGGAACCGCATTTGGACAAACCGTGTAGGGCCTTGGGTGGAGCACCCTTACGGAGCCACGAATCCGGCGAGGGGTGTGCCGCCGAAATGGGCGGGGACCCGCATGTGGACCCTCCCACCGAAGCCTTCGGTGGCGCCCCTATTGTGACCACGAAGCGTGTGAGGGGCGTGCCCGAATGTGCGAGGAACCGCATGTGGATGGTCAGATTAGGGCCCTCGATGGCGCCGATGGCGCCGCGAAACATGTGAGGGGCGTGCCGAAAAGAGCGGGGAACCAGATGCGAACCCTGCTACTGACGGGAAACGACATGCGAGCCCTGCCACTGAGGCCTTCGGTGGAGCCTCCTACGGGGCCACCTATCGTGCGAGGGGTGTGCCGAAATGGGGAGGAGCCGCATGCGAACCCTGCCTCTGCAGCCTTCGGTGGAGCGCCCTATGCGACCACCAAACGTGTGAGGGATGTGCCGAAATTGGTGGGGAACAAACACGAACACAAAAACAAACACAACCACACACACACACACACTTTTTGGCGGTCGCAGCCTCGCGCGCACCGTCGGGGCGGAGAAAGTGAAGTGCAACGGCCAGGGCCACGCGCGCGCCAGGCTCAGATGAAAGCAGCGCCATATGCCACCTGGGCGTGGA